TGTAAGTTCGATCCTAAGTAGAGGCAGATATTTTTCCCTCTGGGAACATTGAGATTATATCTCCTGAATATAACTCTGCATTGGGGACAGGAAGGGCATCCGGCCAGTAAACATTCAGCTCCATTTAGTTGCCTAGACTCCAACCCGCAAGGGATTATGGGGGTCATTAAAAGCCGATGGGCTTTTGGGCCCAAAATTTCTGTTGCTAAGTGAGACAGGGAATTTTGCCCCATTTTATGACCTTTCTTGCCACCGTTGTTAAGTGCAGGTGTTAAGTTAGGAACACGCTCACTAAGTGAATCGGGCTTCCCCGTTGAGTTTGCTCATCCGAAGGTCGCAAAAGGGGATCGGGTGACCCCGGCACACTGCAACCGTCACAAATATGAGTCAAGTTGCCAAGCGTCTGAATTTTGATCACATGACTGTGGGGAACAGTTGTAAGTCTGAAAAACGCTCAACTTTTAAAAGTCAACTTTTTTCAGTGCCACTGTAATTTCAGTCACTAAATGAACAAGGGCTATGTGTATTTGGTAAATTTTGGAAGTTTGCAACAGCTCCACTTCTGCAACAGGTATTGATCAGGCACAGAAATTTGTTGGATGCAATTTTTAAACTGAGGCTGCCTATTCTATTGGTCTTCCTTTACGATGCCAGCGAGGAGGTTATGGAAATAAACAAGCAAACGTCTGTATTGATTCAGTTAGCGTCTGACTTTTAAAACGTCGGTGAGCGGTGCCCATAAACTTTCAACCGCCTATTTGTAGCTGGAAGAACTGTGTTTAAAAGAAAGCTGAGATATGAAGGGAGCTGAATCGTGCACCTAATAAAACTTACGGATCGGGAAGCTGTCCATTTCAATTTAATTCAGCTGCTTAATTTTTTCTGGGCTGCAAGGTTGCCTTTGCTCCAGTTTGCCAATTCAGCATACTAAGAAAAATCCATGGGTGCTTTCATGCACCTTTATTGCACTGCACACATTTTAATGTACCTTTAATGCATCATTCGATACATTAGCGCACCTTTGTCCTAACACGCACATTTTTAGATCACATTGCTTAACACGCATGGGTCTTAGCATCGATATTTCTCTAACATTGACTGTTTCCTAGTATGATTTGATTGCTGATTGTACCCTATGACTATCATTAAGTGCCGTACGTTATGATTCTTGATTCTTAACGAACGTTATCTTTTCTTTTATGTATACTGAGAATATTTACACCAAGACAAATTCCTTGTGCGTCCAATCACACTCGGCCAATAAAGTATTCTATCTATTCTAACAGTGCACATCAGTGTGTAAAAAAATACGCTCTAAGAGAGTATAGATTTGGAAAATACGAAGGTTGTGAACACCGCGCCGAATAATTTTTCCCATTCTGCTCTTCCTCGTCTTATCGTTGCTATTTTGATTTACATAAGCAGCCCGCAGTCTACGAGGATTTGCATAAAGGAGTAAATAATGATACAGCCTGTGTTATTTTGAAGGCCCTGCTGAAGCAGTTGCACAGACCCAGGCTCCAATTATTTGTTCGTCCTGCTCAGGAAGGGAGAGGTGGAGGAAAAGAAATGAATTTGCTGGAGGCTATGGCGGACGAGATGAACTCTCTTCCAGATACCTTACGAGGCGGATTTTGACAGGGGCTGTGATGGGCATAAATTTGTGATGAGCAGCGTAGCTAACTAGGAACACAAAGCCCACGAGCCCTAGGATAGGCAGGCTCCCTCCCCAACCACCCCCGACCCATATTATCATGACCTCAGGGGTCAGCCCAAGACATTTAGGAGCACAACAAAAAGGATTGCTCCCCTCCCTTTTCGAGATTACAGTCTACAGGTAGTCCTTGACTGACGAGCCTCACATTTCCGTTTGCTAAACGAGATGTGTTAAATTGGAAGGAACTTTAGAGGTTAACAGATTGACAAGAGTTGGAAGGGACCTTATAGGTCATCTAGTCCAACCCCCACCCACCCAAGCGGGAGACCCTATACCATTTCTGACAAATGGCAGTCCAGTCTCTTCTTGAAAGCCTCCAGGGATGAAGCTCCCACAACTTCCGAAGGCAACTTCTGTTCCATGGGTTGATTGTTCTGTCAGAAAATTCCTCCTTATTTCTAAGTTGAATCTCTCCTTGTTCAGTTTCCATCCTTGTCTGGTTTTTGGGTGCCTTGGAAAATAGCTTGACCCCCCTTCCTCCTCTCTGTGGCAGCCCCTCAACTATTGGAAGACTGCTATCATGTCTCCCCTGGTCCTTCTCTTCCCTGGACTAGTCATGCCCTGTTCCTGCAACGGTTCTTCATATGTTTTAGTCTCCAGTCTCCTCATCGTCCTGGTTGCTCTTCTCTGCACTTTTTCTAGAGTCTCAACATCTTTTTTTATAGTATGGTGACCAAAACTGGATGCAGTACTCTAGGTGTAGCCTTACTAAGGCTTTATACAGTGGTATTACTACCTTACTCCTTCTCCTCCAACCACTACTCAGTACTGGAATTCTCCTAACGTTCTGGGCAAACGACTGTCTAGCCTCAAACCCTTCCAAGGATGGAGGACCCATAATTTCAGGCTGTTCCATTGTTTCATACAAGGGGTGGGATGCAAATATTTTTACTATCGGTTCTGAGAGTGTGGCTAGGTGGGCCTGGCTAGGTGGGCGTGGCCATGTGACTGGGTGGGTGTGGATTTTTTTTTTTTTTTTTTGCAGCACCCAGCCACCCCCACTGCCCTCCAGTTTTTTTGCCTCCTGGGCCTCAAGGAAGCCTCCTGAGTGAATCAGTAAGACAGCGAAGGCGATCCGGGCATAGCTAATCGTCGGGGGAAAAAAGAAAGCAATACTGGTTTCGGCTGAACCAGTAGCTGTTGTTTTACTACCGGTTTGGCCGAACGGTGACTTTTTTTTACTACTGGTTCGCTTGAACTGGGCCGAACCGGCAGAATACCATCACTGGCTTAATAGCTCTCAAACAATCCAAATGCAACAGAAAGGAAGCCAAGGCCTGAAGTACCTTGTTGGTCTCGTTTATCAACCAGCCGAAGCCCCTGACACCAAATGCCACCTCCTTGGCCGAGACATCCAAACATGTGACAGGCTGGCCGTAGACACAGTGCAGGACTTTAGCTGGCTCTCCTTCTTTCAAGAAGTAAATGGCGTCCTCAGCGGCTACTACGGCAGCTGGACAGCCCGAAGTTTGGGGCATGAGACAGAGCAAGCTGACCTGCAAAGAGTTAATGGATTGAAGAGAGAATTGAGTCTCAAGACATCTTCCCCCATCAACGTTTTTCTTTCCGCTTTCCCCCCAAACATTGAAATAGCTGTCCTTTCCCCTTCAATGTCACGAGTTCCAATTCTCTCGGATAGGGAAGATGAGCATCTCAATAGGACCATGTCTACTCACTCTGTTACTTCAACGGATTAGATGGTGGGTATGGGAAGAAGCTTGGTGCTCTCTGAGCTTGGTGGTCTCTGGCAGACTTTTCATGACCCAAGTAGGTAACATCATCAGGGTTAGAAAGGGGGGGGGGTTGGAGGAGGGGGAGGGGGAGAAAGACTGTGGGGTCCTTGGTGCTCTTTGAGCTTGGTTGTTTCATGACCCAACAAGAGGGGTTGGGAGGAGGAGGAGGAGGAGGAGGAGGAGGAGGAGGAAAATGACTATAGGGTCTTTGCTGGTCTCTGAGTTTGGTTGTTTACTTGCAGAAGTTTCATTACCCAACTAGGTAACATTATTAGTGCTAGAAGGGAGTTGGGGGAGGAGGAGGAGGAGGAGTAGAGGGGGAGGGGTGGGGAAGGAGGAGGAGGGCAACCGTGGGGTCTCAGCTTGGCGGTTTTCTTGCAGACACTTCATTACCCAACTAGGTAGCATCATCAGTGCTAGAAGGGAGGAGGAGGAGGAGAATGACTGTAGGGTCCTTGCCAGTCTCTGAGCTTGGTTGTTTACTTGCAGAAGTTTCATTACCCAACTAGGTAACATCATCAGTACTGAGGGCTAACATCATGAACCCTGTTTTCTGCAAGAAAACCCACCAAGCTCAGAGAGCCCCAAATGAAGGACCCCTCATTTCAACCTCGAGCTCCAAATATCCTCCTTTATTAGAAGAAAGCGTTGATGAAAGAGTGCCTCTGAAAGCGAAAAGCTTGGCCACTACCCCAGATGACCTCATCCTGGCAGAGTCCAGATGCAATGGACCAGCCAGCACCTCCATCTCCATTCAGAATAATCTACTTTTTTTTTTCAGCTGAAGGATTCAACCACCTGGACTCACCTAAGGGAACTTCCTTTGATCCTTTTTCTCCAATCAAAAATCAAAGAAGAAGACCCAAACACCTCCTCACCAGCAATCAAAACCCAGAGGAAATTAACCAAGATTAACCAAAACCAAGATTAGCACTAAGACCAACAATCAACGCTGGAAGTTTTTAAAAAGATGTTGGATAAACCTTTGTCTGAAGTAGTGTAGGGTTTCCTACCTAAGCAGGGGGTTGGACTAGAAGACCTCCAAGGTCCCTTCCAACTCTTCTATTATTCTCTTATCTTCTCCTCTCCCCTCCCTTCCCCACCTTCCTCCCTTCTTCTCTTCTCTTCCCTTCCATTCTTCCATTCTTCACTTCTCTCTTCTCTTCTCTTCTCTTCTCTTCTCTTCTCTTCTCTTCTTGCCATAAACAATACCCCAATACAACCAAATCAGACAAAAAGCTAACAGCCTAAGCAAGGAACCACCAAGGATGCTCCCACCAAGACTGACAGGGCAAGCCGCCTAATATGTAGACAGAGGGGCCAATCCCTTTCCTTTCTGGCACTGATGACGTTACCTAGTTGGGTAGTGAAATGCCTGCAAGAAAAATGAATTACAAATATTCCATCGATCCTTCCTTTCTTTTTCGTTTTGAGCTGCATCTCTGTTCCCTCACCCGCGCGGCGCATTGATCTTCACTAATTGGTCCAAGGTGATGTAATCCGACACGTTGAAAGGGCTTTTTTTCCTGCGGCTAACAAAGAGAACTCACCCATTTCTGAATCTCAAACTCTGCCAGAGTCCCCCAGTATCCTTTGTCGTTGGCACTTTCCACTCTAACCTGGAACCCGGCTGCCGTCGCTACCGTGGCCCCCTCGGTTGAAAGGGCCATAGTCTGAACCTTCTGGTTGTGCTGGTACCGGTGGATTGGCTCAGAACCGACCAGCAGGCTCCACACTTTCACTGACCCTGCATGCCAAAAAGGAGAAAAATGGTGAAAACAAGAGTACAGGGTATAAACCTACCTCTCCCTATATAGGATACAATGCTGGTTTTTAATTCCCAATGTTAGCTTATTCTTGTGCTAATATTTTCAAACAGAATGGAACTTGTCCTTTAAAAAAACACAAGATGAGAAAGAAAAAGAACTCATTGTTTGGACTGAGGAACTTTATCCAATTGAGATGCCTTTCGAAAGGAGCCATTCTTTGGAATTAGGATGTGTGTGTGTGGAGCCCTTGCGATTCAATCTGTTTCACTGCTCTGGGGTTTCGTTTACGATTTTGTTCTTAATGTATGGCAGGGTTGGGTTTTTTTTAACCCTACATGTATTACTACCTATAACTTCGTCTAATATAAAACTTTTTATGCTGATAGTTTTGTCTCTCTAAAATGTACTTTTAAAAACTAGCTATGATATACATATTTAGTGTTCCTTTTCTCAAATATATATTTCCTATTCTGTTTCCTATTAGAATAGAATAGAATAGAATAGAATGGAATGGAATGGAATGGAATGGAATGGAATGGAATAGAATAGAATAGAATAGAATAGAATAGAATAGAATAGAATAGAATAGAATAGAATAGAATTCTTTATTGGCCAAGTGTGATTGGACACACAAGGAATTTGTTTTGGTGCAAATACTCTCAGTGTACATAAAAGAAAAGATACATTTGTCAAGAGTCAAGAATCATCAGGTACAACACTTAATAACAGTCATAGGGTACAATAAGCAATCAAATCTTACCAGGAAACAGTCCGTATAAACCGTAAGGATACAAGCGACAAAGTGACAGTCATACAGTCCCAAGTGGGAGGGGAGGGGCGATAAGGACTGATCTTCTATCTATCTAAAGCAATCCTCAAAGTTTGCTATCAGGTTGCTCTCCGGGGTCCTGAAAGCCAGCTGCCAGCCCTACAAGGACAAAAATCACCCACAAAATATGTTTTGGAGATATACTGGTTCATACTAAGTGTTGTATCTTATGATTCTTGATGAATGCATTTTATTTTTTGTTTATGTACACTGACAGCAGATGCACCAAAGACAAATTCCTTGTGTGTCCAATCACACTTGGCCAATAAAAGAATTCTATTCTATTCTATTCTATTCTATTCTATTCTATTCTATTCTATTCTTATTGTACCCTATGACTATTATAAATTGTTGTACCTTATGATTCTTGACAAATGTATCTTTTCTTTTATGTACACTGAGAGCAGTTGGCCAATAAAAGAATTCCATTCTCTTCTCTTCTCTCAACCTGCATGATTGACAGAACTCACAGCACCTGGGTTCATATGTGAAAGGCAGAATGGGTTAACAAGTTGGGCCACAGAATCTTTGCCTGACTGAATACAGAGAGGTCAAGAGTTCCTTGTAAGTTAGATTAAAGCCACATCAGGGAGTGCTGGTTTGGCACCCCTGCCGAGTTGCAAATGTTTCTTCCCTCCATTCAAAGATAGCAAAGCCAAGAAAAAGGATAATGAGATGGCATCCCAGCAAATTTAGAGGATTATTTATGTGCACTTTGGTAAGGATTATTTCCATGCCCATGAAGCATTTCCACGTGGCAAAATAGCACCAGCAATCTCAGGAGCTATTTAATGGCGCTGCCTCTAAATATTTATGGGCCTCGTCAGGGGAGCGAGCACAATCGAAGAAGCCATTTTGGGGTGGGTTTTTTTTGCGTGTGTGTGTTTTTTTATTATTTTATTAGGGAATGCATATTTAAATTAATCTATTTGCCTAAACAATTAGCCGGCTCGTTTTGTGCGCACGGTGCCAAAATTGCAATTAGACTTCCATCAACATGCAAAAAGGCCCGAATGAAACTGCCCCAAAGGAGTCGTAAGGCCGCCTGGAGTTGGGTTATTCCAATTTTACTTCGAGACCTAATGATAATTGTCTGGATTGTTTGAAAGGTAAATAACAACTAAGCTGGTTTAAAAAAATAAGAATGCCTATGGAACAAGCAGCCGCCCGACATGGAAGCAAATTAACTCCTTTTTATAAAAAAAGAGAAGAGTCTCATGAGACACTAAGCCAACTTTTGAAGCCCAAAGCGGTCTGGGGAAAAAACTGCACGTTAAAACTTTGTTCCACAGCCACTGATTTCGACTTTGAATTTTACCTGGAGACCCCAGTCAAACATACCGTGTGATTATTGTTAAGTGCAGGGACTGCTCGTAAGTCACTTTTTGTCACTTCAAACATTTGCTAAATAAAGAGTTGTGTTGAGAACAGCCTGGATGGGGAGATTAACTCTCTACATTTGTCCTGGAACTCCAATTGCAAATCACTTAAGCAGTTCCCAAGGATCTTGACACCATTCCTCTCTGGTGGCCAACGTAACACGGCTGTTATGAATTGACGTTTCATTACCCAACTAGGTAACACCATCAGTGCTGAGTGCTAACATCATGAGCACTGATAATGTAACCTAGTTTGGATAATGAAATGTCTGCAAAACAACCAAGCTCAGAGAGCACCAAGGACCCCAGAGTCCTCTTCCTCCTCCCTTCCTGCACACCCCCACTCCCTTCTAACACTAATGGTGTTACCTAGTTGGGTAATGAAACGTCTGCAAGAAAACCACCAAGCTCAGAGAACACCAAGGGCCATGTGGCTGTTTCTCACCGATATGTGGAACATCCTGCCTTTGCTCACCCAAATGCAGTAATGAGGGAGAAGGCTGTTTTTGGTCCAGCCTTCTCTCCCGTGGCACAAAACTTTCCGTGGTGCAAAGCAGAACGGTTGAGGGTGGGAGGGCTAAAGCAAACAGTTTCCCCACCACCCACCCACCACCCTCCCACATCATCAAGGCCGTGGCTGCATGCCAGGCCCAGGCAAGCATGGAGCAGATGGAGCCCTGGCACGGCCCCGACGGCTCCTGCATTAGCAGCATCTGCTCATTAACCAGAAATTCTTCCCTCGCTTTCTTCTAATGCTCCAGGAAAAGCATTTTGATTTGATTCATTTCGGGTAAGGCAAACGTGGAAGGCAATTAGTGGTAGGGAAAAGGGAGAGAGGGAAAAAAAAAAAAGAAGGAAAAAAAGAAGAAGAATCAAACTGGATGCCTGCCAGTGCTGAAGACGCAGAAAGATGGTCAGTTGGAATTCAAAACATCACAACTGTGGATTCGGCTGCCAAGGCTTCCCAGGTGTGGGTGGGTAGATGGCAGGCAAGGGAGGAAGGTGCCCGCTGGCCGCAATCGTTTTCCACCCATCCTTTGATTTCTTCGCAGCTGATCCTGCATGACTGAGGCCACGAAGTTATGAAAAGGACATCGGGTCACACAGCCCAGGCACTGGCAACTCCTTTTCCCAGAAAAAAGGGAATTTGGGTAAGATAAGAGTAGAATAGGATAGGGCGGGGCAGAGCAGAGCAGAGCAAAGTAGAACAGAACAGAACAGTGAGGAGGAGGAGGAGGAGGAAGGAGAATGGACTGGACTAGAATAGAATAAACTAGAATAGAATAGCAGAGTTGGAAGGGACCTTGGAGGTCTTCTAGTCCAACCCCCTGCTTAGGCAGGAAACTCTACACAACTTCAGACAAAGGGTTGTTCAATCTCTTCTTAAAAACGTCCAGTGTTGGAACATTTACAACTTCTGGAGGCAAGTTGTTCCACTGGTTAATTGTTCTGTCAGGAATTTCTCCTTGGTTCTAGGTTGCTTCTCTCCTTGATTAGTTTCCACCCATTGCTTCCCATCCCACCTTCTGGTGCTTTGGAGAATAGCTTGACTCCCTCTTCTTTGTGAGATATTGGAAGACGGCTGTCGTGTCCCCCCCATGCCTTTCTTTTCATCAAAGTACACATACCAAGTTCCTGCAACCGTTCTTCGTATGTTTTAGCCTCCAGCCCCCTAATCATCCTGGTTGCTCTTCTCTGCACTCTTTCCAGAGTCTCAACATGTTTTTCACATCGCGGCAACCAAAATTGGATGCAGTAGTCCAAGTGTGGCCTTAGCAAAGCCTTATAAACTAATATTAACAAGTCACGTGATCTTGATTCTATCCCTCTGTTGATGCAGCCTAGAACTGTGCTGGCTTTTTTGGCAGCTGCAGCGCACGGCCGGCTCATATTGAAATGATTGTCCACTAGGACTCCAAGAGTGGGTGATTTGAGGCTGTTGGGGCCACCCATAACTTTCCCACTCAAGGTTCGGCAGGCCCTGAAGCTCAATTTCAGACTATGCTGTGGAAATTGAGCAGCGAATTGCTGGTTTGCAGTGGGTTTATTTTTTAATCAAATTATCCATGAAACTAGGTGTGTGAAACTCCTCCTGCAGCCTTCAGGGACCCTCCTCCTCCTCATTATCATTTGCAAAAAGATGATCTCCTGTGGAAATGTTTAAAAAAATTCCCAACGATGCCTTCTTGTCCACTCAAAACTAACTTTTTGCAAATTGGTGCGTTCCAAACGGACTGGACTTCAAAACTACCATCTACGGGACCCTCAAGAAAATGTCTTTTGCTGGAAAGTGATATGTGTGTGTGTGTGTCTGAGAATATTACCAGATTGAGATTGCTAATGGGAGAGGGGTGGAAATAAACGTCGATTTGCTGAATGGATAGCCAGTTAGGAAGGCCAGGATGTTACCCTGTGAAATGAGGTTTTTTTTTTTATTCCTGTTTGTTTTGTCCGCTTTTTATTCGGGTTTTATTGGTTTTTAATTGCATGCTGATAAGAGTCGGTTTTTGAGTCGAAGCGGCCTTATAAATTGAAGTCATAAATAAATAAAATGACTTAATTTAACCTTTATTGGGTCTGGGATGGCAAATCAAGAAGGAAATTACATTGCGTTAAATTAAATAAATGAGACTCGATGCGTCCCAGTGATGAGATGCGCCCCATCCACATATCGGCTAGAGGTGCCACATTACAACATCTGGAACACCTTCAAAAACAGTAAGATTACTATCATTTCCTCTCCCCACCCCTTACTTCAAGCATTCGGTCCCTCAACAGATTTGTTTCGAAGTCAGAGCAGCTGACAGATTCAGGATAGCCCGTTTAGACTTTGAACGGGGGTATTTGGGGATTAAAATAGTTCACTTAGAGCATTGTGCATATTGGATCGGATCCATATTCTTCTCGATCAACATTTCTCTACCTTGACAACTTTAGGATGTGTGGACTTCAACTCCGAGAATTCCCCAGCCATGGAAGGGGAAGGGGAAGAGGAAGGCTAACAAAGGGGAGGAGAAGGGAAGAGGGAAGGGAAGGAATGGGATGGGAAAGGAAAGGAAAGGGGAAGGGAAGGAAAAAGGAAAGGGAAGAAAAAAGGAAAGGGAAAAGGGAAGGGAAGGGAAGGGAATGGAAGAAGAGATGAAGGGGAGGGAAAGGGAGTAAATGGATGGGAAGGAGAATAAATGAATGAGGAAGGAAAAGGGGAAGGAAGGAAGGAAGGAAGGAAGGAAGGAAGGAAGGAAGGAAGGAAGGAAGGAAGGAAGGAAGGAAGGAAGGAAGGAAGGAAGGAAGGAAGGAA